GAGTTATAATTAAAAAGATGTAGTGGAGTCAGTGTAACATCCTCTACGGCCAACGGTTAAGTAGTCCTCCTCCTTCCGCTTCTATTCTACCCCCTGCAGAACACAGGGGTCTAATGAAACCATCCAGGGCATGGAGACACCGTCACCCTCCACTGATTCCCAGCAGAGGAAGAATTATGAGACTGATAACTCCCTTGCTTTCTCCTCTGAACAGAAACAAAAGGTGTGTCATAGATAAAAACTGCCCCCAGAGCACTGCTGGAAGTCTTGAAGTATAATCAACTGTAATTTCTGCCTTTATCTTATCCAGTGTAATGCAGACACACACATTAAACTGGTGGTCGGACGACACCCTGACAAGGAGAGACTTAACAACAAAAAACACAGACACAGTTTTACATTTATAATCACATATACTGGGACAAAGAGCTACAGATTAAAATTCAGCAATGAAGTCTTGCTGTGAAAGGGATTCTTTATTATAGGGTGTAGCTCCAGAGCGCTGACAATACCGTGGTACCAAAATACTGTATTCATAATCACAGTTCCAAACATTCTCACAACCAGCAAAGCTTTATCTGTAAGGAAGGTAAATGCATGTGGAACTATATGCACATAAAAGTATGGAATTTTTAAAATTGCATAAAAATGTGAGCCAACACTCAAGAACACACCATTTTGCACTTAAAGGAAAATGCAACCTTGTCCACATTTACTGGAGCTTATTTCTCCCCTCATTTACCCACAAGGCCTTCCAACAAGCCTCCAGAGAATGTACCTAAACTTTTCATCCAACATTTTCTGTTACATAAAGGTGAGGAAAGCAATAGCACTAATGTAAGAAGAGCAGGATGCTGCAGCTGTACTGCGTTCCACATCTGTTATTCTGCAGTTGCTTTTGTCAAAAAAATGGGCATCTAATCCCTTTCTGCAGCATCAGTGCAAAGTGGGACATTTGGAAAGAAGAACTTGTGAAGTTTTACAAAAAACTAAATCTGGTATTTACAGCTGATGCTTTAAAAATGTGAAGTGTTTCTGCAACTTCTTGACAGTAGAGCCATCTGTTTGAATTGCCACTGAAACAGAAATGCCACTGTGTTAAAAGGATTTCACCTTATCGCCTCTCTAAATGCTCATAATCTAGCCTTTATATTGTTTTGCAGGAAAAACAATACATACAATATATTGATTAACACAGTTTCAACAAACAATCTGATCATTTTCTCAGTCATTTTTTATATCAGAACCATCTGTGGCCCCATGAATATGTTTTCTGTAGCTGTCTTACAGCTGTTTCTTGTTTCGCACAGTAGTTTAAGGAGTTAGATAACGACCGCAATGCCCTTTCCTTTGAAATACTTGAGGAGAGATACCAGGAGGCTTGAGGAGTAAATTTTCCATTATGAAACTCCGGGACTGGTTTTACTTCCATGGAAAAGGCATGAGGAAAGAAGAAGGGCCCAGGGGAGAGGACAGTTGGGGGGGGGGAATTAAACACCTCAAAAACAGTTTGAAAAGGACATACAATATGCAAAGAAAAAAGACACAGCCTAACTTTCTGCAGAATACATTGCCCTTGTTAGAGGATGAAATCTCAATCATTTATATTGAAATCCTGACATTTAAAAAAATCCATGAGATGCAGTTTTGATTACATCAGTGGTTCCCAAACTGAGGTGCAGGTTCCTGGGTTTGAGCTCAAAAGGTAACATTTTGGGAAGCACTGGCTTGCATTATTAACAAAGTTTTTAAGAGGTTAAAGTTTTATCTGGGGACCTTTGATTTTGTCAAGTAAAACTGTCTCCAGAATTATGCAGACCTATTAATGACCAATACTAAAACCACAAAATGAAACTGTAGACTTTTGTCTGGTTCATGAGCTTTCTACACATTTTAGCTATAGTTTACTAGTTATTACTCTTTTCTTATCAGCCAAATATTGCTATGTAAAAACATCTGTATCACTCTGATGACAGAGAGTGGATTGTGTTTTTCAAAAAGCTCTTTTCAAACATTCGCTGGAACCTTGAAGTTATCAACAGATTACCTGGAGGAGCTGTATGTGAGAATTCAAATGTCTGAGTTAGTTGACTTTACCCTGCCAGCTCCCTAATACAAAGTCCGTGTAATGTCCAAGTGAGCCCATATAACAGCCAGGTAGACTCCGGAGATTTTACAGAGCTTGTGGGCATGTTGATGACATTCTCTCATGTAACTGGCGTGAAACCGGAGGAAGTGCTGGCACCAGAACAGTCAGAATAGTGTTTTTTTATGATCAAATTACACACTGGCTATGTGACCGCATCATGTCTGCCTTCTGTGTGTTCTAGCCCTAGCATTACCCAAATGGAATACTTCCATCTGACTCAAACTATCTGCTGTTGTGTGCTGTGATTCTGCAGACACTGTCTGGAGTGCATGTATGAAAATGGCTCAAAAAAGTGGCGAGTCTGCCTCTAGGTACAATCTAGCTTATTAGTTTCAGGCAAGCATTCAACATCTGCTGAGCCTAAATCCCTCAGTCATTCTTCCAGGTCTGTGAAGTGGCTTGTTCTGTTAGTCTGTGAAGCTATCGTTAATTTAAGCAGGTACACAGTAGAGGTGTTAATTTCAGGTATCAGTCAGCCATCATTATTATTATTAATAACAATAATAGTAAGGTCTAGACCTTACTTTGTAAAATGCATATTGCACAGGCTGTAAAGTCCCTTGAGGCAAATTTGTGATTTGTGATATTGGGCTATACAAATAAACACTGACTTGACTTACTGTAACTCCACATCTTTCCCTCTACCACAACTACATTGCCCCTTTTTCTCCTCTTCCTCCTTCCTTTCACTTTAAAGTGAAGCAAAACACAGCTTTGACACAGCAGGTACACCGGAAGAAAAACGATAAAAGATGGAAGGGAAGGGAGGAGCTAAAATCTTTATCTTGCTTAATGAGTGAAAACTACAGAAGAGGTAGAGCAGACAGGCCCGTCCCTCAGAAATGGCTGTCCACTTTGTTACTATGTCACCTCCACATAAGAAAAACAACATCAGCACTCCCCGAATTATCACAGAAACTGTCCAGGACCCAAGAAGGTCCAGTTATGGATTGGTGGACTGGAACAACATCAAGTCAGGAACAACAATAATGCAAAAAAGCATGCACACAAACAGATGAGGGTTTACAGACACAAATACCAGCATGTGCACATGTGTATATACACACACACACACACACACACACACACACAGCACATCACAAGTAAATACAAACTGACAAAAGACATCAAACAGAGTATTAGTAACAGTGGCAATGATTCATGCATGAAAAGACAAATATTCAACTGCTGTGAGGAATATGATGCACACACAGGCACACAAACTTAAGTGTTGACATTCCATCCCCTCCTTTGTCTCTCCCCCTCACTTTCTCTCCATTGCTTCCTCACATTCACTGACTCATCTGCTGCACTTAATGAAATGCTGCATAATCAGGATTGCAGATTGCAATACTGTGAGTGAGCCTATAGACCCTCCACATACTGTAGGTGTGTGGGCATTACCAGAAACACCCGTAACGCACACACAAACAGTTCCTTGATCTATCCGCATTTCAACCACCAATCCTACCCTAAATCCATTCAGTTATATATACTCACACCTGCATTTGCATAGGCAAACACGCAGACAATGGTGGAGTGGGGTTAGGAGGAGGTCATGATCTTGCCAGAGAGAAGGGAATCAAAGCTGCAGGTCTAGCGCTTATTGCAGAACAAGGGTAATGACACACCAGCACACCCCGTTTGTAAACACACACACGAAGAGAGAGAGAGTTTGCACCCTCAAACCCATGTGCATGTGTGGTGAGGTAAACCTTTGCAGTATTTTTGGAAAAGCGATCCCAGCATTCAGGTGGTGAGACTGATCCATCTGCCGAGGTGTCTATTACCAACAGTGCACTTAAGGAACAGGTCAACATGAGGAGAGGAGGGATAGACATATAGAAAGAGCAAAGAACTGGTGAGAGAAGAGACAGAAAAGCAAAAAGAAAAGAGACGTAGCATTAGGCGGGCAAAGAATATGAAAGCTAAGAAACAGAACGGTGAAGGAATGAAATTAGGAATAGATGGTGAGGAGAGTGGAGGAGAAAATATGCAGCGTGAAGGGGGTGGGTAGAAGCACCTGGTGAGAAATGTTACTGTGTCTTGTAATTCACCTCAATATCAAACTACATCTCATTTAGAAAGCTCAGCTCACACTAACATAAGCCCAGCTCCTTGTGAGGTATGACAGCGGTCACTTGTTATCACCGGCAAACAAGCAGAGACAAAACACACCATTGGCGGAACAGCAAAGGCACAACGCACCATTGGTTAGCAATCCCAAACATGCTGATGGAAGTCATGTGTGTGCTTGCCAGTGCATGTTTGTGTGTGGGTATGACCCACTGTGTGATTAGCCTGAGGCAACCAAGCTAGCGGCTACATTTACAGTGACAGATGTGAAAGTACTGGGTCAGCTTCACAGGAGATCTTCCCCTGAGATAACAAGGCCAGCCACAGCCCTGAATCAGTATAGGACACATGCACACGCACACGTGCACACAAGGTCATATTTGACAAATATTAACATAGTAGCCAAAAGGACAGATATGAATAACAAAAGAAGGAAGGAAAAACATTTACCACACAGCAAAAAAAGTGCAAGCAAGCAAGAAGCTAAAGCGTTTACTTGACATATCTGTTGTTTCCTTTGGCTCACACACAGAAACTTAATGAACCAAAATCCAGATGAGCTTCTGCCCATGTGCGCCTGTCTCTCACTCACTGACTTTCACTCACACACGCAAAGCTGCTCTTTCTCAGAGCCTGTTTCAGTGGGCAGAAGGGTTCATAGCCCATCCACACATAACTCACTGACACTCAGGGAATGTCTCTCTGTTCATGTGGGGTGTGTGTGTTCCTGTATATGTGTGTTGTACATGATCATGTGTGTGCTTGTGATTCCTACCTCTGGCAGAAAGCTTCTTGGTGTTGATGATTTTGGCAGCATACTCCTGTCCAGAGGAGATCTTCACACATCTCCTGACCACAGAGAATGCACCCCTGAAATGAATGACATATTCAGAGAGGTCAAAGTAACATCCAAACCAGCTGATGTAAAATCAGAAGGGTGTTTCGAAGCTGAGACTCAGAAAAGCAAAGCTTACTGTAAAAAGCTTGTGAGGGCCTAAGAAAGTGAATCACATACTTAAGACTGAAAAAGGTCTGAACCCCTCTTTTTAGCCAATAACATCAGCACATGTCAATTTAGCACAAATCTGACATTCACTGCAGTTTAAATTGGATAGGTAAGGAGAAACTGTACCTGACTGGGGCCAGGCTAGTCTGGATGAATATGTTTCCATGGTGACTTATTTACTGATTTACTAAAATAAACCTAGTGTAACCGATAATCTGGCTTGAGAAACAGCCCTCAGACATAATAAATGAGCAATTACAAATGTGGGTGAGCAAACATTTTACAAGTTTTACAGGTAATTTTTAAGATGTAGTGTAGATACAGTAGCTATGCAACTACTCACACACTATACCTACAAAACACACAGGCTTCAACCCATATATGAGACCTTTAAGAGATATCCCTATCAACACACTATTGTTTCAGCTATGTGTTGTTCTGATGTTTTGGCCACATATATGAAGCTTAAAAAAATAGGTCAGATATATTTCAGGGAGCAGAAGAGCAAAGTGCCGAACCTCTCATCTCTAAACGTAGTTATGGAGCGGTTTGCCTGGGCTCCACTCAGCTCTGCAGCCATGCAGGCAGCTTTGTTATTCAGCCTCCAAATCTGTCTGTGCACGCCTTTTCTTTCAAATAGAATCTGTTCCCCTCTGCAGCAAAATCCTGTCTAGCTCCAGACAACAGCAGAGATATCAGTTAGAAGCACTTGGACACAAATAAGAGACAGCTGAGAATATGCATTACCTCAACTGAACCCGGTTTGTTCACTTCCTTCACAACTGTGGCATGATGCTGCTGTATGTATGTAATGTTTGGTTATAAAAACTAAAGTTTGTGCTTATTTCACCACTAGCTAAGTACAGTATATACTGACACTGTATGTGGTGTGGGCGGCATGGTGGGGCAGTGGTTAGTGCTGTCACCTCACAGCAAGAATGTTCCTGGTTTGACGCCCAGCTGACCAGGTACCTTTCTGTGTGGAGTTTGCATGTTCTCCCTGTGCCTGTGTGGGTTCTCTCTGGGTACTCCAGCTGACAACCTGTGCAGGATGTACCCTGCCTCCCGCCCAATGTCAGCTGAGATTGGTTCCACCCCCCTGTGATCCTCTTCAGAATATACACTATAGATAATGGATGGATGGATGGATGGATAGATGGATGTATTGTGATCAAGTTATCTAACAAACAGAGGTTAAATTACCTCTGCTTTTGTATTTCAAAGTAGACACACTAATGTAGCTTGTCTCCTGCAACAATGTTTAGCAGCCAAACCATCTGCTATGAGCACATCTGTATGCTCTTTGAAGTTATGTCAAATATCATTCCAACATTTGATGGACTACATATTAAATGGAACATCAGATTATGTAATTATGTACAGTAAAAATGCTTCACAAATATAACAACCTCTTGGTGGATTAACGTAGAAAACAGGTCACATGAACTCACAAACTGATATGAGAATAAATATCAATTTGAGGATGCTGGTTTAAAATGTTTTGATTCAGTTCAATTCTATATTTTTCTTATTATACCATTGCTTTTGCAATCCAGTCATGTAAATCACAGCTCGCCATTTTGCAAACCATGCTGATAGGTGTTAGGATTTTTTTCCCCTTTAACTTCACTGAAATTACTGGACTCTTGAAATCTGACCTAGTTAAATAGTCCTACATTTGTTACCCAGTGTTATTGGGTAACACAGTGCAGTCTTTATAAATCAATCTGTACTTAAACTGTATAACAACTCAACACAAAAGTGACTGATTACACAACTTCAACGTCTTTCAAGAGCCTGCTGACTGATTTTTGTACAGAACAAAAATGAAGAGAAATCAATATCTGCCTGCACTGGTCATCCAAAACCTGCTTTGCATGCATATAAAAACCAACAAATATTAACACAATTGATTGACAAAGGGGGATAAAAGTAACAAGTATGCTGCTACGATCCTTTAAGGACAAGCATCTGTATTTATCAGTACATTTTTCATATCCCCCTTATAATGCTTACAGCACATTGCTGCACATAAATACCTTCTGAAATAATAGCTTCATGATCATTGAAACACCAGAGTTTTGGCCAAAAACATTAATTTTATATCAGTAGCAGACAATGTGGGAGCAAATGGTGCTGCACACACTAAAGGGATCAAGTAAGTTAAAGGGTAGGCTACCGTAAAAGCAATATGGCTGCATTATTAATGACAGATGGTGTAAGATGAACACAGAATAGCATGCTAAAGGCAGGGGGTGAAGCTGTAGAGGAAATATATTAAGTGGGAGACAGCTACAGACATCTGGGACTGTGCACTGACAGCGGGACACTGTGCAGACTGCGGGTCATGTCTACATAAATATACTGTGCATAGATATGCTAGTGGCACACATTTAAAAACTGGTAGTCTATAATGCACATCAGTGAGCGCGCGCACACACATGCTGATAAGCGGATGTTTCTCTCCCACTCCCTCTCGGGGGTCAGGAATTCCTTGCCTGTGTCTGATAATTGACCGCAAATCGGTGCTTGGCTGGGGAATGTGTCATCGGTCTGCTGTCGCATTACCAAGTGTGTATTTCTGTCACGCGGGACTTGGGAGGAGGGGGAGGAGGGTTTGGGGAGGGGGAGACGTAGAGAGGGAGGAGGAGGAAGGTTACCAAAGCCCACCCCGATGTGTTTCGCCCCGGTTTAGTTTACAACACGTGAGGTCCTCGCCCTCCTGAGGCAGCCCAAAGGTCGAAATGCAACATCAGTGGCTGCACAGGATGGGGGCAAATGACGACACGCTCGCCTCCACATCTTCTTTCCTAAGCACAGAACGGAAGCAGGGCTTCAGATGTGGGATTAAAACAAATGGGATGTCATTTGCGCAGGCCTGCATGATACATGATAGCGTATTAACCCCTGCATCATAGTTTTCATGGCTACACTATCAGCAGCGTGCACACGCACACTCTCAAAAAAGGCACAGACACGCAGAACCCAGAATCCGCGTCCCTAAACCAAGGCAACCTATTACATAATATACTGACATTTCATACAGGGATGATGCCAGATGATAAAGAAACATGCCCGCTTACTTTCCAAGCTCCTCGAAGAGCTGATATTCGTCGGTAAATCTTGTGCAGATCGTTAATGCCATCTTGAAAAAAGTGCCAAGGGGTGTGCGGGGACGCGGATAAGGTGCACTCACAAACAGTAGGCTGTCCACCACACGCAGTCGTCAACACCACCCGGTTTTGTCCTGGAACTGCAAGCCAAACGGAGGGATTCATGCACAGATAAAGCGCATCAGCAAGAGCTGTGGTGGGGTGAATTCTGCAGAAAAAGACTGCCTGCGCGAGCGCGAGCGCTTCAGTCTGGACGAGGGAGCTTCCGGTGTTTGCTGTTTCTTTATTTTCTTTACATGCAGCGGTTTGTCACGGCTCCCGGAAGCAGCATTTTGTGGGCATTTCGGAATAACTGCTGCGCGTCCGTTCAGCGCTGTGTTCACTCTCTGCGCGTAT